GGTTTATTTACCAAGACATGGTCTTTGCAAAGAAGGAGATTAAAGAAAACGTTAAAGATGTTGAATCAAGGTATTTGAATACTTATGTTTATTTCTTTGTTTATATTTATTGGTATTAGAATAAAACCACTATATTATATTTACTTGTATGTATTTTTTAGGTACAAACTTATTTTTGAAATCATTGATCAAAGATGGTATAATCAACAAAATAAGGCGATTCATGTGGCAGATTATTTCTTGAATCCAATGATGGAATATACCCATGACTTTGAGAATACAGCTTGGACCAGGACTAGATGTACATGTGCCTTGAAAGAATGTGTGGTGATGACAACCTAAAAAAGACGATTGACCTTCAATTTGATCAATTCACTAATGCAAGAGGGCTTTTTGGTCTTAGTGTAGCCAAGCTAATGCAAGAGGGCTTTTTGGTCTTAGTGTAGCCAAGCTAACAAGGAAGGAAAAAAGTTCGGTTGATTGGTGGGATTCATATGGAGCTGAGACACCCGAGTTGAGAAATTTTGTCATGAGAATACTGAGCTTGATATGTTCCTCGTCTCGTTGTGAGAGGAATTAGAGTGCTTTGAGAGGAATTAGAGTGCTTTTGAAATGGCAACTTACAAGTAACAACATTAATGCTTCGCCATTGAGTTTTGAATCTTAAACCTAATTTTAGGAATTCACTTCCAACTAATTAATCATCAGCATTCTTTTTATTAAATAATTTGATTATGGACTTATAATGAAATGTCTAACACACTTGAAGTGGTATAGTGGCATATGTTCAAACTTGGCCTCCTTTCTTCACGAAGTTGCAAAAGGTTGGTGGTTTTATTTTACAAGTTTTCTTATTTAATGGTATATATGTTCTTATAGAGTTTAAATATTATTTCCTGTATATAATATAGAATTGAAAAAATATAGACATGCCGATTGTCATTGAAAGCTATATTTTCACAGTATTTTATATAAAAGGTAATAAGGTATTATTAAATTAACACGTATGTATGCATACATACATGCATATACAATAGAAACGACTCTTAAAAAATCATATATCAAATCGACTTCTTACGTATTACAAACCATATATGAGACACGATGAAACAAATTTTTCTAAATCCCAATAGAAAGCTATTTGATTGAGGACTTGAATAAAAAAATTATTAAGTTTTGTAAGAAAAATGTTGAACTTTTTTTTGTAACATAGTATAAAAAGAGAAGTTTCATATATGCCCCTTGCATTTTGATAAAAAAATCATTAACTCCACTTGCATAAATACATGATTTAACTCACCTGGAATATTACATAGTTTCCCACGAACGCTCGCCGTCAATGTTCATTGCGGTGGCGCTAAAACAACTATTACGATCTCCCTTGTCGTCCATAGAGTTGCTCTTTCTTGAAGAATCCTCTTTCTTCATGCTCTCGCATTCCAACTTCGTCTTGTTAAAATCCACACAAATCTTTTCCCATATCTCCTTACATTCGCTATCACTTCTACTGTATCCCAAAAGAGACAATTCGAAAGCTACCTCCTGCCAAAGGCCCTCCCCATGTTCTTGGTTAACATCTTGAAATCTGCATTCTTTCTCTGTTCGTATACGAATCAAGCTACAGATCTCAGTTTCGATCCAATCTTTGTGTTTTTCGTAATTACCAAGGCACCCATTAATTTCTTCAGAATTCTCCATAGGAACCATGCTTCTGTAAGTAGATCCAATCGATCTAACCCTAAGTAGGTTTTGTAAAGCATTGAGTAAACACTCGTCGCGAGTCTCTATACGTGCTACATGGCTAGCCCAAGATTCGCATTCGTGATCCAATCGAGCGACCTCTTGTTTTCGCCATTCTTCGTCGCTGACCTCCCTCTCATGCTCTTTACGCTCGATCGTACACAATATCTTTTTGCCAAATTCATCTTGTTTAGCCATTAGTTTCGAGAACTGTGATTCCATTGACTCTTCAATTACAGCTATCATTTCCTTCTTTTTCAACTTACGATTACTTCGGTTCTTTTCTGAAGATGGTGTTCCATGTTCAGAAGAATTATTCGATTGGCTGCTGGGATGAATAACGATGTTGCTATTGATACTTCGGTGATCATGTTGATCTCCAAAGAGGGATTCAAGTTGGCGAAAAAACCGATAGTGTTTACCATCATGTTTTCCAACTTTGCCTTCTTTAGTCTTCTTGTAATACTTGTATAAATTTTCGAACTTTTCTTTGCATTTTCTTCCACTTCTCTGGTACCCATAATCTTCATTCATTATCCTACATCACGAGAACAAAATAAGTCATTAAAAAGATTCAAGAGTGTGGTTGAGACAACAATTGATATGAACCGATCGATTCACAAGACGTAAGTAGCTAACATACCTCGAGATTTCATCCCACAAAGGGGCTTTATGGTTTGAAGATGTGGCTTCTTTAAAACAAGGGTCAAGTCGAGATCTGATCTCAAGAAGTGCAAGTGTCTCTTGTCTTGGCCATCGGATGGTAGTACTCTGAGCATAACTTGTGGTACCATGGTTTAGGTTGATACCGCTGTTAAAGCCATTCCATCCCGTTTGAGGTGAGTATGCAGGCGGGGGAGGTGGAGGAGTGACGGTGGGGTTGTCACGAAAAGTATGAGGTGGTAGTGCATCAGGGTTTAGTACTTGACGCATGTAAAATGGTACTTCCGAGTCAAGTGAAGGGATTCTTGAATTAAAATGGACTCTTGTGTGGCCGGTGGTGAACGCCGGCTGGCCGTACCGGCCATGGTCCATGTAGTATGTGGTAATGGAGTATATTTTCAAATAGGGTTGGATAAAAGGCGTATGAACCCTTTTTTATAATATTTACAGAAATTACAAACATGGTCCTGAAGTATTGGCTTTGTTACGGTTTTAATCCCCAGCCAATTTAAAATGACTGGATTAACATTTATCCAGTTTTCTTTTAAGAATTATGGTATGTTTGCTAATTGCTAATTAAGTTAGACTCAGTTTTTTAGCATACACAGTAAGATGCATATCAGATGCTACAGAACAGAATCATAAGTGTTAATTGTGATACTAAACAGTCCACGGATATGATAGAGTCAGACCCAACTTCTTACCAGATTCAGTAAAAAACATATCAACAGCATGTTATATATATATATATATATATATATATATATATATATATATATATATATATATATATATATATATAGGCATGAACTACCTTTTGTTTTGATCACTTAACCCATTATAACAGGTACAAACTTAATACACTTGGATCCTACATGTAAATTAGTCAAAATGAAATTTCCCTAAAAGTCAATGGCGAAATTAGTCAAAGCATCCTTCAGTGCTCACACATATATCTGTCACTTAAGCGGATTTCACTAACATAAACAACCATTCCCTTCTTTCGGTATCACATTTTCAACAACAATGGTGAAATATATGTGGATTTATTTCGGCGGTGGCATAATTCTTCACAACCCATTTTGTCAATGGCACAAAGGTCAAACCCAATACTTGGGCGTGACACGTTTGCATGCGATTCATGTCTGTGGTAATTAATACAGACTCATGGATTTAATCATGTGCTAACGAACATCCTTGAAACATCATTTAAGTAAGTTTTATTATTTATTTTTGTTTTTTTTTATTTAAAATTTAAAAAAATTAAACATATATATACTTGAATCAAAAAAGATATTAATAATTATCATAAAATGTTACTCAAAATATTCTTAGATCACAATAAATTAAGGATTATAAACATGTTAAATCATAACTTTTTTTGAATTCTAAATATTTTGGATCATATTATGTTCAACATTTAAAAAAAACTTATAATCTTTTAAAATAAAGCTTGGTATCTAAACAACCTTATGTTGGGGGTTTTATTCAAAAACTAGTTACAAAAACATAAGATTTAGGCAACGGAAGACTAATAAATTTTGAATAACATAAACTAGTTAAACTCACTAAGAATCATCTTGTAAGTAGTAGAAATATTAAACACCAACCAAAGAAAGCATAAAGAAATTACAACATTTGTAGTTCTTTTGGGTCCTCTTGGGAGGCTAGGAAGTTGATGAAGAATGATAAACTTTAAAGACACCAACAAGAACTCAACTTGATATAGAATGCTAGTTTTTCTTTAAAAACTCTTAATCTCTTACACCTTGTTCCCGAGTTTAATTCAGTTTCATTAAACGAAAGAAAAGAAAGGGAAGTAAAATATGGAGAGAAAAGAAAGGGAGGGGAAAGAAGTGATTAACTTTTTCGTGTTCCCGAGTCCGAAGGAAAGGAAAGGAAGTTTTTTAAAAAATGTGTTCCTGAGTTCGAAGGAAAAGAAAAGAAAAGAAAGCTAAATAACAACATTACAATTTTATCCTTATTTTTTAGCAACATTATTACATACATAGTTAAAATTGAAAAAAAAAATGTTGATTTGCATGTTAACGTCATATTTGTTGTCTAAACATTCGTTTACACACATACATATATATTTTGTCAAATACCACCTTCATATAATATTAAATTAAATTATCAATGAGTAGCAAAACATAAATAATATTAAAAAAAAAAAAAGTTGTGGATATCTTTTAATAGCATTTGCCTAATTGAAAAGAAACCAAACTATAAAAATCATCCAAAACAATGCAATTTAATCCAACTACGATTCGAAAAACCATAATTCAATTCGTGAAACCAAAAAAAAGTTGAACAAAGAACCAAGAAATAAACACTAATTCTCCCAATTCATCATTTACCTGCGCTCATCATTGTTTTTAGTATATTCTTCCTTATGTTCATTGGACAACTAAACAATGTCCTCACATCTGCTTGGTTACGAGCCAAATACATGAGAGCACCTGGTATTTCATGGGCTTCCAAACCCATCGGCTGCAATTCTTGATAAATTTCACCACCTGTTAACTCATGATGGTAAGCTCTTTCAAATATTTTGTTACCTTCCCTCATAGCATTAACCACATCACCAATAGCATTCATAATCTGTGTTTCAATGTTTCAGGTTCAGGTTGAGGCTGAGGTTCAACTTCCTTTTCTACTTCGTCTACGAGCTTTCTTTTTTTAGTTTTACATTTTTTCGCACTTGAATTTTGTTCAGGTGTAGGAGACACCACTTGAATGTCATCTTCATCATCATCCACACGTTGGTTCTCCAGTCTAACATCATTACTTGCTAATAAAGAATCAACCTCTGAAATACTTTCTATTTTGATGTCCGTAGTGTTGTTGAACCTAGCATTTCTCTCCTTTGCAGTTTCAGCATTTTCTCCTGAAGCTCTATCTCTTGCAAATAATACCAACATTTGTTCAAAGTGGGCCACCTTTTTTGTCTTCAGTGCAAGCTTTGACTGTTTAAAAACCCCAAAATACATTAAAATTAATAATAATAACATAATATAAAAATAAACTAAATACAACCTTAAATGAAAACAAACCTTAATTAAGTTATCCCAAACCTCCTCATCTGCTTCAATTAGTTGGGTATCAGCAATCCAACCGAACCCACTCAAGGAAATCCTATTGAACATGTCATACCGTTGTGAAAAAGTAGATTTCAAAGTTTTCAAACGATTTTTTAGATGACTTTTAGTTAAATTCATTGTAAGTTTCTTATTGAGCTCCTCAATCATATTCGTATATGCTTGTGAAGTAAAATTTTTATAAGGCCTATTTCCTTTTTCTTGTTGTTGTACCATTGCATCAACAAATGCAGCATCCATATGTTCTGTCCAGTTCAAGAGTGACTTCTTACCGGTATTTACAGTAGGTTCTTGCTTGTTCATTATCGGGTTCTACATAACATAAAAAGAAACATACATTATTATAAAAAGAACATAGTTACAAAGTGTACAAGTTATAAAAAATAACATAAAAAAATTTAAATAACACAAATAAATTCACAAAACAATGTTCATTAAAAATTCAAATTGCAAATGAAGTAATATAACGAAATACTCTTAAACTATGTTGACATATTTATTTCATTGTTTGGATTCAATAAGTAATTAGTCCACATTTGATTTGCAATTAAGTTCCTAAGTTGCACTGCCATACTGTTACCCTCACACGCACCACTTGAATCATGTCTCACTTCCTCTGTTGGTGCACTTAACACCTCCTGTAATACCTCATCTTCAAGATCTTTGTCATAATCTTCAACTATCAAAAAGTTATGCAAAATACAACACGCCAAAAAAAAATGTCTGATTGTGTTTCACGAGAATAAAATGGTTCTTGTTTACTTCTAATGATAGGGAACCTTCTTTTTAGAACACCAAATGCCCTTTCTATAGCATTACGTAATGAAGCGTGACGAAGATTGAACAACTCTCTAGCATTTTGTGGTGCCCGAGTGGAATATTCTTTTAAATGATACCTAACACCTCTATATGGCGCTATTAATGTAGTTGAGTGAGGCAAACCGGTGTCTACTAAATAATAGCGACGTATAATTAAATTGTAATTAGTTTTTTAATAATAAGTTAAACTAAAAAATAAAAAGGTAGTACTAGAAATTACCATTTGGAATTACTAGTTTATCATCTCTATTAAGTGCATTCTTTAGTATCCTTGAGTCTGATGCAGTACCCTCCCAACCGGTTAAAACATATGTAAACTTTAAATCAAATGAACAAGCAGCTAACACATTTATCGTTGGGTAACCCTTGCGGCCACGATATTTAGGGGCATCTCTATTAGGTACTTTGACACGAACATGTGTACCATCAATTGCTTCTACACAGTTCTTGAAGTAAGGAAAGAATCTCTTTTTCTCTTGAATTTCTTTGGGGACAACATCACCTTATGGTTGTTGAATATAAAGACTTTCTAATGCTATAACCGAGTGCAAAACTCTATGGAAGCACCTACTCGTTGTGGATTTCGAGCGCCGATACATCTAAGAGACAAATGTATTTCTCAAATCATTACCTACAATGTGCAAAAATCTTGCAACATGCTCTTCAACAGACATTCGTTGAGTAGGTTGAAGACCACCATCACGTCATAAGATAACACATAGCTTCTTAAAAGCTTGCTCACTGATACGGATAAGTTGACGACATTGACCACCATTTGAAAGGTTATGTAACAACTCTTCCAGTACACGTTGACGTTTTAAAAGAGTTTCTCTAGTAGGTAAATTAGGACCATTGTTGATGGTAAGTTTGCGTTGTACCAAAATAGCAATCAACAAGCAAATTAGATAAAAAAATTGCATTTGTCTTGATTTCAAAATATGAGCAGGTGAAGGAAGGTTAATATCCATTGAAATCAATGTGACCTATTTTATGTACAAAATGTGAAGGATTGTAAACAACGCATCCTAACAGCAGCAAAAAATAGCCACACACCAAAAATAAAAGCAAGGGAAAAATAGTCAAACAGGAAAGTTGGTAATGAACAAAAAAATTTAAAATCATTTTAAAATTTTTACCTTCTAAGTTTATCATATTAGGAAGGTTCATCAACATATCCCAATAAATAAATTGAAAGTTGTGTTTAAATGTGAAGCAAATAATTAAAGTTTTTGGGAAGTTTAGTGATGGTTTGAGGAATTATGCTTGTATGAAGAGAATTAGTGTTGACGTGAGAATGTCCCATTATTTGGTTAAAGAATTAGGTAGCATCATCTTGAATATAAAATGGAAGTAGCAATATTATATTGTAAATTTATATGAATACATGTTGGCAAACTGATTGGTAAATACAAATCATGGTATGGATGGATGGGTAATTTTGTACAACATGTTAAACACCCAAAAAATTTCACACACCTAAAAAATACATGCATTGTCTCATAGTTTATGCATGTATTTGCTATTAAAAGGAACAATCATAGAATGTTTTAAATGTAAAATCTTTCAACATAAACAAATCACATTAACTTCATATTTAGTTTCATATAATTAACATCTATATTTAGTTTCATATTATGACGTTCTAAACCTCAAATCATAAGCAATCTAATGAATCAAGTCAACTTTAAGAACAATAATGAAGAAGAAAGCAATCATAATAAACCAGAAAAAAAGGTTGTAACATATATTGTGAAAAAAATACAGGGGAGAAGAATGGAACCTGGTTTTTTGTTGTATGTTGTGAACAAAAGAGATCTGCAACAAGCTCGTAGAAGAAGCAGTGTCGTTGAAGCAGCAGGAAGAAATACCGAACCCAATTTTTTGTATGCTGAGAATGATATCGTGATCTTATTTAACTGTGTGTTGTTATCCTTATCATTGATTCTCTTCTCTCCAAATCTCTCCAATTTGGGAGGAAGATTAGGAGGGAAGATTTTCCTCTGATTTCCTTTCTTTTCTTCTTAAATCATTCCAAAAAAAAAAAAAAAAAAAAAAAAAAAAAAAAACTCGGGAACATGATGGTTTACTTTTTCTCTCCGATTCTCTCCCTTTCTCTGCACTTCCCCCGTTAAATGAGACTCGAGAACGGGGTGTTAAGCTTGAAGCAAATACCCAAGTATTTAATCCAAGAGAGCATAAGCAAGTGTTCTTTAAGTGGAGAACAAAAGTGAGAGAATAAGCATGCACAAATGCATCTTATGTTTTTTGTCAAGCCAAATGAAAGAGTTCGAAGCCCTTTTTTTAAGTTGTTCTTGAACCATAAGGTCTTTTGGCTTTTAGACAACCCATACCACTTTATAGTATTTTAATCTCACGCTTTCAAGACATTTCCCTGGATTAAAATAAGCTATAAGCTACGTTTCTGTCTTTTGCATAAAATAATCAAAAGCACGTAACTTCCCTAACTAGTTAGAGGTTTTATAAAAGAAAGTCAAAGGTTTATAAACTAGTTTATAAAATATAAACTTTAACTTTTTTTTTGGAAAGGGAACTTCTCTAATGAGGGTTTCCGGGCCAGCTTTCGCGCACCGACTAATCCCCCGCTGCAAACATAAAGTTTTGCCTCATGCCCTGGAGTCACTGCATGCGAACCTCCATGGCCACAAGGGCTGACTGGTGCCAAGATTTGAACAACTTTAACTTTTTTGATAAAAGACATGGATTTATGTTATGCACGACTTATTAATTCATGTCATATGAATTATGCATGTAACTTGCTAATGAAAATTATTATTTCCTAGAAATAAATAATTTTCAATTTAATTATAAGAGTTTATTGAATATTTATTAAAATTAATTTATAATAAATAATCAATTGTATCAAATTGTTGTCAGTGCGACCCATTAGTATTGATATTGCCATATTTATACCTATTTTTAGGCAATATTTAAGTACATTTTTATATATAAACTGGTAATTTGTTTAGAATAATGGTACTTATGAGTTTAAATGTTATTTTCAGCAAAAAAGAAGACATTTTGAAGAAAAGGGGCTAAAAACGTCAAAGGAAGAAACTTTGGGAGCTAAAAGATTAAAGGATAAGAAAATCAGGAAAAAGCGTCTTCACGTCGTGAGCACTAGAAGATTCACGACGTGTGAATAAGTTCTAGAAGATATGTACGCGGGTGAAGGAATCCTTGACGGACAAGGTTATGTGGAACTCACGACGTGAATATCTTATTATTCACGACGTGAATTATTAAAATCAGCAACTATATGTATCCTTAACCATTACGAACTAAAAACACTTTTGGTGGCTGAGAGGGGTTCCTAAAGACGAAAAATCAGAGGAGAAAAATACCTGGAAGCTGGTTTCAACACCAAGGAAGTAGAAGCACATAAATTGATTCATAGTTTGGTACACTTTAATATGTTTTGGATTATAACATTCGTTTGTTTAACTGTTAATATGTCCAGCTAAATCTAGCTGCTTCTATTAGCTAGATGAAGCTGGAACTCATGGTTTTAATGCATTAGATTTGACTTTAATTGTTGGTGATATGCGTGTGTTGATTGATTTTACCTAGCATGCTTGAATTAGTTATTTAATTGCTTTGAATCCTTATTCTGTGTAGTTAGTGAACACAATGTTGCATGAACTTGAATACCTAATAATATAGTGAACACTAGTTATTGGAGCTAAGATCAAACCAATGTTAGAATAGTAATTGAATAATTAAATTAAGTTGTGTTAGAGAACTTATATTATGACTATAATTGTGTTTTGATTAATCAATCTTTCATGGCTCCAATCTTACTTAATAATTGATTCTGTGTTAACTATTGTATGAATATAAATAGAATTACATGAATTGATTAATAATTAGTAGAGTTAGAACTAAACTACTAATACTATCTTAATTGGTCACCAATAGTAATAGTTATAGCCAATGTATAACCATTGAGTAAAAGTGGATTCGAACTAATAGAAGTATTTTATTTATTGATTAAGTTATTCTTAAAGAATTAAGTTCGTCTAATCTTGCAAAATTAGATAAAAACCCTTTTAGCTTGTTAATAATTAGATTAATTTAATAGTAAATTAGTGACACCGTTCCCTGTGATCGACATCCGACTTACCTAAGCTATACTGTAATCTGACTAGGTACACTTCCTATAAGTGCATAGTTAGTTAAGTTTGTTAGGTTATAAATATTAAAATTAGTGGGTACTTTCGTGCACATCAAGTTTTTGGCGCCGATGCCGGGGAACGGCTTAGTTTATTTGCTTTAGGTTACTCGATCCTTTTTGTGGGTAAAACCTGCAAAAAGTTAATTTTCTTGCAAAAGTTTTAGTTTTAGTTTTTATTCTCTGTTTTCCAAATTTTTTATTTGCTTATTATTTTTTTTTACAGAACTCACAACGTGAATTTTTAGATTCACGACGTGAGAACTGTGAATTTTAGTTTTCCTTACTTTTTAGTTTATTTGTCTATTTTGGTTCATTTTTACGTTGTCTTTATTTATTATCTACAGGAATTCATGACCAGAGGCTCAAACACACCTTTGGTGCCACCATTTGAAGATCCCGAGTCTGCAATTAACAAGAAGAAGACGACCTTACAAGAATTTAAATCAGTGTTTTCAAAGAAATCAGGGAAGAAGACTGGGGAGTCAAGTTAATCCTCGAAGAATAAAAGCAAGCTTGAACACTTGGATCAAATACCCATTCAAACCAAATTCGAGTACGTTACCGAGCCCGAATTTGAAGAACATATGAGCGAACCCGAGATGACAAATATTGAGGAAATTTCCATGGGAGCTTACAGAAAGAGGATTCGAGATGATGTTGGTCCAAGCTTAGTACAACCTGCAATCCCTGCCACTGCCACATTCGAGCTAAAGGGACATATCCTTTCTGCACTAAAGGATATCCCATTCTATGTAAAGGATCACGAGGATGCATTCAAACACTTAGATGAAGTGAATGACATTGTTGATTACTTCAATATCCCAAATATTAACAGAGACACCATTTTGCTAAGGATGCTCCCCGTTACCTTTAAAGGAGCTACAAAGGATTGGTTAAAAGCACTTTCACCCGGTACCGTAACTACTTGGGCTCAAATGCGTGAGCAGTTTTTAGATCAATGTTGTCCACCATTCAAGATTGCTAAACTCAAAAAGGCAATAGCCAATTTTGAGCAAAACCCAAGAGAGTCACTTTACGAAGCTTGGGACTGTTACAAAGGGTTGTTAAGAAATTGTCCTCAACATGACCTTAACATTCAACAGGAGGTATCAATATTTTATGATGGGGTAAACGTGATGACAAGGCAACTTCTTGATTCTCAAGGACCACTTACAAAGAAAAATTTGGGCGAAGTCAAGGAATTAATTGAAGAATTCGTGAAGCACTCTCGCGAATACCACAACCCTAGGCAAGATGGAATTAAAGGCGGTGGAGGAGCCCAAACTGAAGAAATAGCAGCCATGATGGCTATGCTAAATAATATGGACCGGAGGTTGACACAAATGGACCACTCAATTCATGCCATAAGAGTGGGTTGCAAGAGGTGTAGTGGTCCGCACTTGACCAAGGACTGCAATTTAGATGAGTTTGGGAACAGAAAAGCTCAAGCGTGCTACTCGAGTGGGGATAAGTTTGATGAAG